TTAAACACAACAGAAAGTTATGTATGGGTATATATCATTTCTTCCTTATAAAGAAGAGAAATGAAACCTTAGCCTTATTTATTGATTTTGGCAACAGAAGAAACCAGTATGGAGTTTTAATCACATTCATGAAATTATTCACTGCACCAGCTAACATTCCTTCCCTATAGTTCCTTCAGACAAATTCTTATAATTAGATTTCAGAGGAAAGCACCATTGGTCACCCAAATCACACATGCCACCTGACATCAGATGGCTCCTAAGACAATGAGTAAACACCGTCAGGACATTGTACATTTTCTTCTGATTAGTAGACATAGCTAAATAACTATGTGTGACAGCTAGGTAACAGGTCAGTCACCTGTGCAAGTATCTGCCCATAAAACATATATGAGCATATATGAAAACGCTAATTCAGTGAAAATGATGTTAAAAATCAGATTCACATTCCTTGGGCTTCCCTGACAGTTCAGTTGGTAAAGAATCTGCCTGCAATGCAGGAGACCCTGGTTGGATTCCTGGGTCAGGAAGATCCCCTGAAGAAGGAACAGGCTACCCACTGCAGTATTCTTAGGCTGCCCTTGTGGTTTAGCTGGTAAAGAATCCTCCAACAATGCGGGAGACCTGGGTTCAATCCCTGGATTGGGAAGATGCCTTGGAGAAGGGAATGGCTACCCACTTCAGTATTTTGGCCTGGAAAATTCCATGGACTGTATAGTCCATGGGGTCTCAAAGAGTCGGACACGACTGAGTGACTTTCACTTTTCACATTCCTTGGAGAAAAGTTTACAGTATTTCTCTCTTTTCTACGTTCATTGCATCACCCTCTATGTGTGCATGTGTGCTAAGTTGCTTCAGTCATGTCCAAATCTTTGTGACCCCCATGGACTATAGACCGCCAGGCTCCCCTGTCCATGGAATTCTCCAGGCAAGAATACTGGAATGTGTTGCCATGACCTGCTCCAGGGGATCTTCCTGACCCAGAGATCGAACCTAGGTCTCTTAAGTCTCCATGTTGGCAGGCATATTCTTTATCACTAGCACCACCTGCTCCTATTAAGAAGAGACAAATTTAACAGCCTCGAGTAAACAAATAGATAAGCATATCAACAAAGATAGATTAATCTGTTTAACTACATTCCAAACTTTATTACCCTGTATGTGGTTCTTTCCTTTGAGGTTTATTTTTTATTATTATTATAACCTAAGATTGAAGGTTGGCTTGGCTTGCTTTGGGGAGCTCTTCAAAGCTCACAGCCCTATCCAGACAGTCTGTGTTCAAACCATCTTTGTTACCACATGTAAACTTGTAGGGTCTTTAAACACATAATTGCTTATATGATGTCATAATACATACTTTTTAAAAATGGAGTTAACCATTAGTTTACATAGAATGTGTTCATCAAATGTATAAAATTAGCAAAAATAGCCAACACACTAATTTAAAATTGAGGATTTAGTAAAGCTATTTCCATAATACATTTTTGTTCTGATTCACAAAAAGCACAATCCTACAATGGAATTTTAAATTCATAGGGGTTTCTGTCAAGCCCACAGGGGCCAGAATCATATCTATCACCATTTTACACCTGACATACAATAGGCACTCTGCAAATATATTGTATGTTGGATAAATAAATGAAACCATAAAGGCATTAAAGGACTTCCCTGGTGGTCCAGTGGTTAAGAATCTATCTTGCAATGCAAGGGACATGGGTCTGGTCCTTGGTGGGGGAATTAAGATTCCTACATGCCACGGGGCAACTAAGCCCTCGAGCCACAAACAGAAGTCCCTGTGCAACTAGAGCAAGTCCACAATCGAGCCCACGTGCCACAGTGAAGACCCAGCACAGCCAAAATAACAAGTAAATGAGTGGGTAAAGGCTATTTCATGCCTCTGCACGCATGCTAAGTCGCTTCAGTCCTGTCTGACTCTTTGCAACCCTATGGACGATAGCCCACCAGGCTCCTCTTGTCCACAGGATTCTCTAGGCAAGAATACTGAAATGGACTGCCATTTCCTCCTCCAGGGGAATCTTCCTGATCTAGGGCTTGAACCTATGTATGTCTCTTCTGTCTCCTGCATTGGCAGGTGGGTTTTTTTTTACCACTAGTGCCACCCGGGAAGCCTAGAGAGGTTATTATTACTATGTCCTTGCTTTGATGAAGTAAAGCAGAAAGTGGCAAACTTTTATGCAAAGGGCCAGATGGTAAATATTCTAGCCATTGTGGGCCATATGGTCACTGTTGCAGATACTCCAATCTCTTTCACAACTATTCAATTCTGCTTTTGTAACACAAGAACGGTCATAGACAATATATTCACAAATGAGCATGACTGTGCTACTCAAATAAAACTTTATCTATAAAAACAGAATTTGGCTAGAAAATCATTAAAATCCCATGAGAACCGCTTTCTTATAGTGAACACTCTATTCCTAAAGGCGGGACATTGGTGGACTTGTTAAATTCAACCAGATATGTTTTGATGGGCCAAAAATTGGGCAGGGCATATATAATCATTCCTCACAGCTCCATCACCCCTTACTGAGCAACCCTGCCCCCTACTAATTTCAATCATGTTACAAGCCAGTCCCATGCAAGCCTCTGAGTTTATATCCTAAACTTTACAGCACAACTGGTTTCCAGAAATGTGGCCCATATCCATAACCATGAATCCATAACCACAACACAGGCTCCCCAAGAGCAAGCCCATGACTTTCAACTCTTCACCCTTCGTCTAATACCTAATATCAACACCCAATGAACTTTAAATATTTATTGATTGCCTAGTGTTTGATACAGTCATGGTCTCCTAGGAGGGGCTGCAGAAAAAGTTCTAATGGCTGACAAAAGGATGGACAAAACATGTGCCAGCGGCGCGCAAAGAGAAAAGGGACATGGTGAGTCACGGGAAAAACAACAGGAATCATCAGAGGACTGAAACAGCAATCTCTTCCAACTGTGTCTCAACCTTATATCCACTCCCAGGATCTCTTCTTCATATCACAGCAAAGCTGGGCAGAGGCTGGACAACTCAGGACATCTCAACCACAACCACAATAAGGATAAAACCTTGGTTAAAGCTTCAGGGTGCCCTACCCCCAATCACCAGCAACTAACTGAAGGAATAAACTGCTGAATTCACAAATGGAATGCTCTCCAGCAATGAAAATGATCCATCTACAACTGAATGCAACAATATGCAGGCATCTCTGTAATGCATTGTTGATTGAAGAAGGCTGGACACAGAAGAATACAATCTGAATTATATAATCATGTTATCTCTCTCTCTTTCTCTCTTTCCCTCTCTCTCTGTCTCTCACAAGCAAAACTAATTTATGCTCTGAGAAGTCAAGAGAGTAATTCCCCACCGAGTAGGTTGTGTACAGTATCGAGTGTCGAGAGGAGGCATGAGGCTGTGGTAAAAATGTTGTTTCTTGGTCTGGCTTCTAGTGACATAAGTGCGCTTAGTTTGTAAGCTGCACTGAACTATACACTTACATTATGCATATTTCCTTGCATGTATGTTCTATTTCAATAGAAACTTTAAAAAATAAAATAAAAACATTCCACCATTTGGAAGTGGTCCAGAGAGCCATATGAAGGCCCCACACAGAGCCCCATAAGGCTTCCCCTTCCACCATCCTTCAGAGCCTCTTGCCTCATATGGAGCCCCAATCATCCTTCTCATCATCTCAAAGTATAATCAGACAGTGAGAAAGCAAACTAGATCATTCCGAGATATCTGTAATTCCAGTCTCAGCTCCTTCAAAATGTTAGTGCCCTTCAGAAACTTTATTGCTATCGCTAACTTATGTTCTAAATGAGAAGAGAGAATATTAAAAAGGACTCCACCACTCTAAGTGGCTCACTTAAATATACTTCTTTTAAAATAATGCTCTGAATAGGTAACTCTAGTTCATAAACATCTATGAAGAAATGCTTCAATACTCAGGGACTACTTGAAGAAGATACCATAAATGAAACGTAACTGAGATTAGAATGTAGAATAGTCAACAGCCACCCTTCAAGAATTAGACAGAATTTTAATGACCAATTGTGTAACTGGCCTTGATATAACTGTAATCAGAACAGAACACACATCTCTAAGAATGCATGTAAAGTTTCAATGCAGGTAGTCAAATTACAGGACTGGGAATCATTCTGACTTTCTAATGTTGATTTTACTATACTAACCTCAGCTAGTACCTCATTGGCATTACCGACTTGATGGACATGAATTGGAGCAGGCTCCAGGAGTTGGTGATGGACAGGGAAGTCTGGTGTGCTATAGTCCATGGGGTTGCAAAGAGGCAAAGAAGACTGGGTGACTGAACTGAAACTCAACTAGACATTACTACTCATGTTCTTTTCATATCCTCCTGTAAGTTCTGGTTTAAAAAAATCAGTTAAGACCTTTGATCACATTAGATCCAGAGACTGGGCTACGTGTGAAGGCTGATTAGGCAGGAGGAAGAACAGTAATCTGATCCCCTGACCTAAGAACAAACATCAGCCACAGTGGGGCAGACCAGCACATTACCAGGAACAGAGAAAGCACAGGAATCCTCTGCTACACAGGGCACATGCAGAGTGCAAATTCCAATTCTTTATATTCAGATGTTTTTCATATCAAACAAATTCACATTACAAGTCTGTCCACTAAGTAAATCACTGCCTAAATATAATTGTACTTAACTAAATGATTCTGCCATAGAGTTTATACATGTTCTAAAATGCCTCTTGGGAGAGAATATCCTTATTTTTAGGAACTGCATCCCTAAGAATTGAGGATAAAAACGTCATGATCTCTTAAACATACTTTCACATGTTTCAGCAGGAAAATGTGGAAACCTGAACACACACACAATATGGCAAAATGCTAACAAATGTTAAATGTAGGTACTGGACACATGAAAACTTGCTGCTCATCCTTCAACTCTTCAGTAAGTTTGAAAATTTTTGTAATAAAAAGACACATGGAAATCTTTACTCACCTTTCAAGTGGATGGCCTTCTTCTTTCTTCTAATCAAAAGCGAATGGCTAAATATGCCCAGAGGCACACTTAAGGATGTTCATGCTGTCCTCACCCTGCAAGAAGAAGCAAAACAGCATGTTACCATCAATGATTTTTATTAAGTTAATGCTATTTCAGTTGACACAATGTTCTTAATCTGTGTTGAGCTTGTAGATTAAAATACTGTTGTAATTATTTTTTAGGCAAGGAGAAAAGTGAAAGGAGAGAAAAACAATCCCATTGCATATTGAATGCAGGGAGCAACCGCTGGCCTCACCCACTCAAGGAACTTCTGGAACAAAGGAATTCCTCAGTAAATTTCTTTTAATTCACAGAAATTTCAGGGCAGTGATGTAGTCCAAACTCCAACAGAACAAAAACTGAGGCTCTATTAAGGACCTGAACTTGACTCTGACTTTGTATTCTGAGGCTACACTTGGAAGGCACCTACTTACCTCGCAGAACCACACCAGACCTGCTGCACCTCCAGGAAACTGGAGTTTTCTGCTGCATCCCAGCAAAGGCATCCAGGACCAGTCTATTACTACAACACACGCTCTCTCCAGCACTGTGCTTCCTAGGCACACTGGCCCAGGGGCCTGCCGGTCACAGACCTGATGCCTCCACCACACCTCACGTTATCTATTACATTTGATCTCGCCACAGCCCTGTGAGGCAAGGGATGTTTGCTTAATGCATTTTCCAGAGAAGGCAGCTACATGTCAAAGATGATACAGGGCATTCAACTAGAAAACACCAGACATGAAACTGCTACTTGGATCTTCTGACCCCAAGCTCAGGGTTTATCTCACTATACAGGCTGTCCCCACCCTCCCCACCCCACCCCGCAACACAGCAGCATCCTGAAAACCAACCTCAATGCCAAATGACCAAACAACAGAGCCACATGTCATTATGGGGGGTGGGGGGTGGGGAAGAGGGAGGGCAGACACAGCCTAAGAGTATCTATTAATAATCATTCTTAACAGTACCATGAATATTGTACTTATGATTACCAATTACTATAATTACTATCAGTAATTATACTTCCCTTTGAAACACAATAACCATTAATGTATTTTTGACATTCATATATATATTTCATTTTTCTCCCTTCTTTCTCAAGAGGGCATACTATTGGCCAAAGGAAGTAAAACAAGCCTCACATGGCACCGTAGGTAATTTTCATCTCTGCCAGAACAATAGACAATTACCACTCGCTGTTGAGGATTTTTCCATTCATTTTTTATAAAAGGCAAAATGTAGTCAAATACAACAGCACAGACTCTGACTGTTCTGCCAATGAAGATGGAAGCAGCATCAAAACTACCACTGGGGAGAAGGCAGTAACGCTCCATGACAGCCTCAAGTGGCCCTTCATCGCGGGTCACCAAAATGCTGCAGGCAATACACAATGGTTTAGAGGGCACAAGGTCTGCCACGTGAAGGTACTGGTGTACAAAAGTCAAGGACCCCTCCCCTGGATTTCAGTCCTGCCTCCTCCACTCACTCGCCTGATTAAACATTGAGAGAACCTCCCCCAGCAGCCACCTCTCCTGTGGACTGGAATACCTGCTCACAGAGATGTTGAGGCTCACAAAAAAGACAGGATGTGACTCAACGCCCCACAGACAAGAGCACCTGGAGCCCAGGAATACTGATCAAGAAGAGCAACACTAAACCAAGGGAAAAAACATGATGTACCTTTGGAAGGAACAACTTTACTCCCAGATTTGGGGGAAGGAAGGATAGCACATGAGTCTGTGACACTATGAAACACACATGCATCTTGAAGTTGGATGCAATCGTTGCATGAAATTTTTAAGCTAAAACACCTACCCTTACTTGCCTAATTCATTTCTAGTTACATCCTGACAGGTGGAGGAAGGGAGTAAGGGCTGGAATCTCTCTCTTAAAGATGGCCTTGGGAGAACGTGTCAAGCTGGCGGGCATTTTAATATCACAGTACACCCAGAAAACTCCTCATGGTCTGTTTCAGAGTATTCTCTTCAAACTCAGGAGTCCCCAGTCTCTGCCAGATCTAGGTATATGTGGGATAAAGTCTAGATACATACAATCCCATCTCTATACCACACATCCTGGTGTGTTACTAAAGATCCTCTCTTCTCTGCTCTGCACCCTCCATTCTCCCTACCAGAGATAACCCACCAGCCTGAATTCTGACTTACTCCTTTGCTCCTCTTATGGTTTTATCACATCTGTATTCTTAATATATTGTTGTGTTCTGCCTGGTTTTAATTAAGTTTTATACAAAGGAAACCAGGGCTGTATTCAGACTTGCCTCTTGAGATTTTGATTTTGAGATGCATCCCTCTTGACTCATGTGACTGTGGCTGATTTTTCACCACCATATTGTTCTCACTGGGTGACTTTACCCACAATTTACCGCTCTATTCTACTGCTGAGGATCATCTGGGGATTGTTCGGTTTTCGCTATTAAAAATAATGCTGCCATTTAGATTCTAGTGCTCGTCCCCTGGTGCAAACAGCAAGAGTTTCTCTGGGGCGTATCCCTAGGAGAAGAAAGCAGGGCTTGGGATCACATACATTCAGCTTCTCAGAAATGCCAGATCGTTTTCCAAAGTAGCTGCCACAATTGACTGTTTAGCCACCCTTCCCGTCTCTCTCCAAATAAGAGCCCTGCTTGTTTTGCTAATTACCAGCAAAGCTTTCAACCAACAAAAGGGAAAGCGTTTCCTATTTGCAGCATCGCCACTGCAAATAAACAGTACTCCAAAGTAGTGACCCAGACAGCTGGAACATATTAGTCACAGGACAGACTTTGGAATAATGATGCAGACCCAGCCGGCACCACACACTGCCCACGGGTATCAGTCAAATTAGATTTCCAGACCTGTGTTAAATTCAGAGATTATCTTCTACCTGATGGACTCACAGCTATGGTCCCCGCTTACTCCTGTCAACTTGAAGGGGAAAAAAATTAACTCGCGTGCAATCCAGCAAAATTCAAGATCAAAGCTGGGGAGTCACATCCTTTCAAAGAAATAGTGTGTTGCTGTTGTTGTTGTTGCTGTTTTAATACAGAGTTGCCTGTGTTTTTATATAGTCACCTAAAAACTCTTAGGTATTCCCTAGACAAAAAGACATTCTATTTAGGTTTAGTTATTTCAATGTCTTAGGTGGATATAGTAATTCTGTGACAATTTAATCCGTATTTCCAGTAAAATCATAGTATCAAACATTTCTGTTGGTATTAAATTTAAAAAAAATGAGAAACTCTTTCAATCTGGGCAGGAAGGAGAGAAGAAAGGTTACTATAAATTTCAAAGAGACTTGTATCATCTCACTGAAAGAAGCAATGATGTTAGTGACTTAAATGGGGTTGTTTCAACTCAACCTCTTGTCTCTTTACAATCATTTCTCCCTGTGAGGTAGCAACTATTGCTACACCCATTTCACAGACGGCAGAAACCGAGGCAGAGAAAGCAATTAGGTTGTGCACAGCACACAGCTGATAAGTGGTAGAACAGGGATTTGAACCCGGTTTACCCCAGAATCCACATACTAACCACTACTCTCAGCAGCTTTTTCAGCCTCCTAAGACTAGCTAGAAGGCCCTGCCTATCATGATGACAATAACTGTAGCTACCAGTCACAAAGCTTCAGCAACGTGCCAAGCACTTGCTAAGTGCTCTATTGTGTTATTTCTGTCCCCACATCTCCCCCAGGCCTGAGTTATTCCCATTTTACAGCTGAAGAAATCTATGCTCTAGGAGTTTACATAACTTGGCCAAAGTCACATAGACAATAAAGACAATGGTTGAGACACCACTTGAACCTTGTCTCTGACTTAAAGTTCATATTCTTTCTATTGTGGACTTTCTGGGAAAAATAAAAATACCTGACCCCAGGGCCTGGGGGAGACAATTGTTGACCATGGGTCTTGGGAACAGCCCCCATGAAGGAAACAGATGTCACAGAGGGAGAGGATGTGCCAGCTTTCTTGGCACTCGGCAGGCAGCAGCTGTCATGGCTGCTTGACAGGCACTGAGGCAGAGTGGTCTCCAATAAGGGCAGTAAGCATGGTCAAAGATCCAGCGGTCACACCGCGCAAGTCAAATGGCCACTGAACACAACATTTTTGTCTGTAAAATGGGGCTAACTTTTATTTCAAAGGGTTACTGTGAAGATTTTTGGGCTCCAAAATCACTGCAGATGGTGACTGCAGCCAGGAAATTAAAAGACGCTTGCTCCTTGGAAGAAAACTTATGACCAACGTAGACAGCATATTAAAAGGCAAAGACATTACTTTGCCAACAAAGGTCTGTCTAGTCAAGGAAATCTGTCCTGAATATTCATGGGAAGGACTGATGTTGAAGCTGAAACTTCAATACTTTGGCCACTGTGTAGTGAGTCACTACACAGGGCAACCAGAGTAACATATTTCTTAAAATCAAAAGGCTCAATCTTGTGTTGGTTCTAATATTTGATCCAGAGTGGAGGAGGGGACCTGCTAAGGGGCAATTTTCCAAAGGAAGGTACCCAGCAAGGGGCAGAAGCAGCCTCAGTACAGTATGAAGTGTTTGAAGAGAATAATAGAAGCCGCCACTACCAATATACACCATGGACGACCTTCTACATTCCTCTTTAAAACCTTTGCTTATGGGGACGTGGCGAAAACTCCCAATGCAGGGGTCCTGCGTTCAATCCCTGGCCAGGAAACTATAATAGATCTCCCATACCACAACTAGAGATCCCACCCACCACAGTGAAGATCGAGGATCCCACACGCTGCAGCTAAGACCCGGAGCAGCCAAATAAATAAATAATTTTTTTACATAATCTTTTTTCTATAAAGTGGTTTTTATTTTTTCTTTTTTAAATTTTATTTCTTTATTTAGGCTGCCCTGGGTCTTCATTGTTGTGTGCAGGCTTTCTCTAGCTGCGCTGAGCAGGGGGCTGCCCTCTGGTTGCGGGGCACAGGCTTCTCGTTGCAGTGGCTTCTCCTGTTGTGAAGCACAGGCTCTAAAATGCCAGCTCAGCAGTTGTGGCCCAAGGGCTTAGCTGCCTCGTGGCATGTGGGATCTTCCCAGACCAGGGATCGAACCAGTGTCTCTTTCATTGCAAGACAGATTCTTAACCACTTGACCTCCAGGGCAACCCTAAGAAAATAATCTAAAAAAAAAAAAGAAAGAGAGAAAACCTTTGCTCAATAACCCTGAGAGAAAATACTGTGATATAGATCCCTATTAAACAGATAAGAAAACTGACTCGGAGGTGAAATGACTGGCCCAAAGTCACTGAACTTGTCAATGAGTATAATAATGGCTCACTGCATACATACAGTAGGCATTCAATAAATACCTGTTGAACAGGAGCTCTGCAACATAAAAACAGAAGACACTGCTTACCTCACAAGGGTTTTATAAGGGTAAAGTGAGATTATGTATACAAAGTTCCCAGCTCAGGCCTTGACCTTGGAATGTACTGTGTACCTGGGCAATAATGCTGACATAGAAAGTTAGGCACAATAACCAGATGGAATGGGGTTGTGATACTGATGTGGGGTCAAACAAACATCATAAAGGACAAAAGATGCACAGATATACCTAACAGGCAAATTTGCACAGCAAATACACACATGAAAAGATGTTCAACATAAAAAAAAAAGATGTTCAACATAATTAATCATTAAAGAAATAAATGCAAATTAAAATCACAATAAGATATCATTACACATCTATCAAATGTTAAAATCTGGCATTATAAAATGCTGACAAAAACTCATAGCAACTAGGGTTCTCACACATTGCTGGTATGATGAGTAAACACAAACAGTGGT